GTTAGAAATACGTATTCATTGTAAATTTTTACCGCAAAATTTTGATCATCTGGAAAATTTTATCTCACCTACTGATTATTTACCATTGAATAATAATGCAAAAGCTATTGAAATAAAAAATAAACATTATAAAATTATACAAGAAGCAAAACGTCAATGGTTAAATTATTCCTTAAATATTTATGAGATAAAAATACAAGAATATGAACAACAATATCAAAATGAATTCATTAAATTGAGATCACTCTTCTCAAATAATAATGATACAACTATGTTAAATAATATCAAGGAATATATTAATAATCGAATAAATAGATTTAAAAAAGATATTTATGATAAAATGGGATCTTTTCGAAGAATAATACTTCAAAATCGTCAACGTTCATCATCAACAAAAAATGTTATTGGTGTTTCACCTGAACCCTACCTCGATCTTATTTCTAATCCATTTGATAAACGTCAATGGAATTATCTTTCATTCGGTAAGATAAGTTTCTAAAAATATTAAAAAATTCTTTTATGTTTCTATTAATTTAGGTCCATCTTATATAAGAGTGAATCAAAGTGCTATTCGTTCCAAATGTCAACAAGAAACTGAAATAAAAAATCAACATAAGGATATTTATTCGAAAGTTGAAAATCATCTCACCGGATATCCTCATCTTATACCACGAAACAATGCAATTTTTAAACAATATTCAGATCATCTTCTCGATTATCTTAATCAAAGTTATTTTACTCCATTATCATATAATGATCAATTAATAAGTCTCGAACAAGCACAAATTCTTGGATCAATTCGACGAATAATTCAAAATATGAATCTTATCATTCGTGTTACGGACAAAGGAAATAATTTTTATATTGGTTCAGCTGTTGAATTTGAAAAAAAAACTCAAAAAGTTTTCTCTGATACAAATGCTTTTATCGAATTATCTGACAATCCATTCAATGAAATATTATATAAAGTTATACAATTACTCAATACACTTCGTGGAAAAGATCTTATTCGTAAATGGCAATATGAACAAATGATGCCCGATCGAACAACATGTGAATTAGCTCATTTATATTATAATCCTAAAACACATAAGGTAATTTTTCTTAAAGTTTTTACACTAATATTTTATTTTTTATTTAATTTCTAATTTTTGTAGGATGGTATACCAGTTCGACCAATTGAAAGTACTATTCATGCTTCAACTACAAAAATTTCAAAATTTTTAGACAAAATTTTACGACCTATATTTGATGCTAAAAGCAATGATACAACTATTATTGATGGTGCTTCTTTAATTACTGAACTTTCAAAATATAACAAAAAAGGCCTGTTAAAGTCAACAACTCTTTTTTGTACATTTGATATTCGCAATTTATATACAATATTACCACAAGAAGAAACATTAGATACCCTCATGGCATTTCTTCATGCTCATGGTTATAGAAAAGTGAAAGGAATTAGTATTGATACAATAAAAAAATTAGCTTCGATTATTCTCAAAGACAATGTTTTTGCTTATGGTAAAAAAATTTATAAACAAACAACTGGTGGTGCTATGGGTTCATCATTGACATTAACTTTAGCTAATATTTTTATGGCAAAATGGCAAAAAAATATTGTTGAAGAACAAACCAAGACAGGTGAATTTTATGGTCGATAAGTAACCAAAAATTTTAAAATAAAATAATGACGATTATTTAATTTTTTTTCTAGATATATTGATGACATTTTTATGACTTGGAATAAATCTGAAGAAGAATCAAGAAAATTATTAGATGATGTGAATACATGGCATCCAAATATTAAATTAGATTATAAAATTAGCAATAGTCTTCCATTTCTTGGTGTACAGCTTACAAATAATAATGGCATACTATCTACATGTGTCTATCATAAACCTTCAGCTGAACCATATGTTACACCATTTATATCTGATCATCCTCGACATGTTTTTTCAAATATTATCAAAACTTCTATTGAACATGCAACAAGATATTCATCAACATTTGAAGCATTTAATTATGAACGATGTTACATTAAATTGATGTTATTATACAATGGGTAAGTCATTATTTCACATTTTATAAAAAAAATATTCTATTTCAATCGTTCATTATTTAGTTATCCATCAACGTTTATTGAAAATGAATTTCACAAATACTTTTCAGAATATATATCAAAATCACCATTTCTACCATTAATTGATGACGAACAAAAATATTTTCTTCTGCGAAAACAAATATTAGGTCAACCAACACCTCGGCAAACACAAGTCGCATTGAGTGCAGCCCTGGCTGACATTGACAACGATCCACTAGATGATGATGAGAAACAACAACCAAACCCAGACCCAAAAAAATCTGAAGAAAACATCTCAAACATTAACCAAAAATTCTTTACTCATTTCACCTATGAAAAACGTTTCAAAACATCCAAACGAGATATGCGTCAAGTATACCATGATATATTTAAAGATATACCAGCCATGTACACAAAACTGATTGTTGGTAACCGCATCCATCGTCAAACACACAATGAACTCATACGCAAACGCCCAAATAAAAACTTGTTACGAAACACAACAATAATCAAAAGTAAGTCAAACAACTGTAACAAAAAAACAATTTAGATGATTCCTTTATATAAAATATTTTAAACAGCTCCTTTATTATTATTAATTAGATAAATTCGAAAAAAAAACTATGAACCCACAACAAACTACAATTATCCCCGAGCCTCCATCAACCGAATACAAATGACAAGCCATTTCCGCTACCCAGGACGTCTAATCCACAAAACTATCAAAAGCATGATCATAAACATTTCGAAACAAACGAACATATCAATAATCCATTCATACATCCTATAAAATACCATAAAATATGTCAAAATTCCTCAAAATTTCAAATTATCCGATCGCAATAAAGTTTAAATTTTTTTTTCTTTTCAGATATATTTCTACCCAAAATTTCGAAAAAAAAATGAACACACAAACAAGGGAAACAAAATCTATAGATCATGGTAGCTGTTCACACTACAGTTGTCGGATTTTATCAACATATTTATATGAGATTTTTAATTCTCTCTATTTATATGTCAGATATAAAATAATCTTGTAATTTTTGTCAAAAAATTATTTAGATTTAATTGCCATCTGATGAGACCCTTTAGCAAGGTCGAAATCTATATCAAGGTAGCTGTTCACACCCACGCCCCAGCACGAATCTCGTCGGCAAATCATAACTCTGCATTACTTGTTTCAATTATTGATCAATTTTAATTTTAATAATTACAAATTTCGAAATATTTACGAAAAATAATGCGTTGCTGAAAAGCAAACGTTTTTACTAACAGATTGATTTGTGTTTTCGTCAAGAGATGGGTCAATCTGTTTTCAAATTATTTTAGTTTGGTAAGTTATGTCGAATTATTCTAAGGATCTCAAAGAGAAACCAGAAAAAAAGACCAATAGTACCTGCACAGTACCCTAACACGACACGTTCAAAAACGTTTTGATGCACTCTTTGATTTGGAACTCCACGTAGTGCGTGAAGTAACTCAGCAATTATTTTATAGATTGCATAAATCACTCCAAAAGCAAGTACTATTATTATCGTTAACATGACAGCCATATTGGGATCCAGCTTCCATGCAATGATAGTAGCGGGTATAGGACCAATATTTGAAGTAGATCCGCCCCACAACCATTTCGCTGTATTTAGAAAATAATAAGAAATGTCAAGTAACTTCATGAAGCACAATTATAATGTTAGATAACAACGAGATAATATCTAGAAAAGGATTGTTAACATTTCTTAATAGAAAGTATAATTTGTCAAATTATTATATTTTTAATGCTCGCGTACTCTAATAGAGCGATCCAAGATCCATCTATCTTGGTGAAGTGCAAAAGCTACACGTAAAATGTCTTAGATCAGGATTCGAATTTTTCTTCAAACGATTCACTCAGTTGCTTGTTTCAACTCGAAAATGTCTGTTTCCAACCAGAACTCGAGTAGCTATATCGAACCCACTCATTGTGTATTCAAAAAGTGAGTACACTCTATAATGGATCAGTGTATTTGACTGGTCGTTTACAGGATAACTTTTAAAAAGAGAGTTCGATCATGATAAAATTTTCCACATATGTTTGTCTCTTCAATATCTCTCTCAAGTTCAAAGCTGAAACTGATTCATAGGGGCATTTCTGAGTTCTCGTGAAAACACAGATTTTCAGTAGAACATTGGTCTATGCCGACTGTCATAAAAAGGGTATGAGTGTGGGTGTGGGTGTTAGTCTCTTTCTTTTCTACATCCCACACCCACACACAGAACCAATGATGCTTGTCAATTAAGAGTGGAAATCTATTGGCACACAAATCCTGTATTTTTTCATATATGTGTGGATTTGGAGTATCTTGTTGAAAGCTCCACTCGATCCTAAATATGTCATTGCAATACCTGAGAGCGACTGGAAGCACTATCTTGATATAGCCATTATGATCAACAATGCTATTCTTGAAAACCACTAAAGGTGATACACGTTTAAAACGAATTCCAAGTCAAATTATTATTGTTTGCGGAAATTTACGTTTTTACCGGATACCACCTTTGACATTGGCTTCTGAACGACTAACCGTCTATATTCGATCGTTTTGAGAGTTTCATCAACGTCGAACATCTTCTCACTGGAAAACAAAAATTTCAGCGTCTTTTTTCCTGAGTTTTCGTCGTATGCAATTAGCAAACTAGAGTCTTTCGGCTTTATACTCTCCGGTGGGCATTAGTTCACTTTGTATTTTATATGCCGGTAGTTTCAGATGATTCCTGAGTATTCTCGGAACAGCAGTTCCATAAATGACCAATTCACGAGCTAGTTTTCACGGAGACAGTAACTTTCATCGACTTAATCGTTTCTTGATGTTTTCAACTACTTCTTTCGTTCAGATTGTTCTTGGATGATCAGGTGGTTCAGATAAATTCATAGAACTGGTTTCGTGAATCCTTCTACACCATCGCTCGATCGTTGAGAGACTGATGGTACCGTTGAGGGCACTAGTACATATCGTCGCACGACACTTCGTCGCGTTCACTTCGTCGCAGAACATTTCGTCGCACGACACTTCGTCGCAGAAAAATTCTTTTCGTTCTGTTCGTCCCTATCTATTTGTCGCATCTCTCTTAATGAATTATTCTTTTTGTGTACAACCAATGGAAATAACGTACAATAAATGAAATATTGCAAGAGATATGTACGATAGGGATATATAATTAATTTTGCTGAGACATAATTTTAATTCGGTGAAAGGATAAATTAAAAAAGTTTTTTCATGTAATTATGATAGTGCTAAAGCTAATGAGGACTAATTATATTTGTTGCTCGCTTCATGAATTTCTGAGTAATCCAAAACTAAAAATAGTACTGATCCGACATTCTTAATTATTGGACTGCAAGTCAAATAAAAAAAATGCATTTCACTCCCTAATTTCAATTTTCACTACGTACTAGTTTTCAACCAAAGTGTCTCAAATAGAAAAACTGTTTTGTATAAAATAAAAAGCAATGATGCTCCAAGAAGGTGACATCTATACTGAAAAACGTACAATAACGACTAAATTTATTCTTCGATCTGAGAATCGAGATTGTAAAGCTAAGATCGTTTTGAACATCAATCAATTAATTGAAATAAAAATCATTTATCAATGAAGCTTGTTGTTATACGAATTTATTCCTGAAGACAATTCTCTCACCACTAACATCACACTCCCATGCTCCAAAACCCGATCGTTTTCCGATTATTTAATTAAAAATTGATATTAAAATTCAACCGGTCAACTCCCTCTACTCATCTCACCTAGATCATTTCTTAAAAAATATAGCAGGCAACATTACTCTTTAGTTCATTTTATTTCTTTAGATTATTTCTTTTCTCAATCTGTTCCTCATTATGTTATGTGTATTATGCACAAAATATAGAGAAATTAACTCATAAACTTTCCATTGCTTATACACAAAAAGAATAATTCATTAAGAGAGATGCGACAAATAGATAGGGACAAACAGAACGAAAAGAATTTTTCTGCGACGAAGTGATCGTGCGACGAAGTGAACGCGACGAAATGTCGTGCGACGATATGTGCGGTCACCACCGTTGAGATCTTGTAAAATCTTTGTTGTTCCATTGCCATTTTTGTACTTTGAAAGTACGAGCTTTAGTAAGTCTTTACTGTTGATGATGAGAAATGGGTAGACTACGGCTAAGTTTGAAAGTCATCCAATGATTTTATAGAGAATAAAATTGATAATTTTTGAAACAAAAGTAGGTTAAAAGGGTGTGGGTGTGGGTGTGGGTGCGGGTGCGCATGTATGTGTGGGAGCGGTTGTGGGTGCGGGTGCATATCATCTATTTGTCAACGTCCACACTCACACCCACATCCACCCACACCCACCCAGACTCACCCACACCTACTCTCCCACCGCCACACCCCCGCCAGATATGATGCGCCAATCAGATTTTGAGCCAAGTTTTCTCGCTTGCTGTGCTTGAAACACTGTTGGATGTTACGACCGCTTTTTGTAGAGGCCAAAATTCTCAGTAAGTTTGGTGCCGCAACTCTGGTGCAAAGGAGCACTGTCATAGGGATCAATCGTTCTCAATTCACTTTGAAGCATTGGCGGTTTCTGTTTGTTCTTGATCTTTGACTTTTACCCATGGACTTGTATTCTGATTGGCTGAAATAATTGACCAATGGGATAGGGACCAGATGTGACACTCAAAATTAGTATAAAAATTGTAAACATACCTGATCAGTGCATTAACCAACGACGAAACCGGTCATGTGTTGCCTCATAATCTATAATCTTTTTATGAATTACATATTTCTGATAAATCCCTTGAGCAAGGACGAAACCTGTCATGGCAGCTTATTTCCTCTATTGTCTAGTGAATGCTACTACTCTTCTATTACTAGTTCTTTTAGGAGTTCTTGTAACATTGAAGATAGATTTTGTTCTGGATATCGTTTCATCGATAATGCAAAATAGATTAAGCCATCTGATGAGTTCCTTAAAGAAGGACGAGGGTGAAGAAAGAAAGAAAGAATACCCTTGCCTTGCGGCTACCTTTCAGTATAGGGTGCTGTCCGGAGACAGTTTCAAGAGCCCGATATTTTTCCTACAACTATTACTA